AAGTTTGGTCGAACATTAAAAAAGCTCTTGACATCTTTTGTTTTCTGTTAGGTATTGAAATACTTTACATGGCCAATGTCACTAACATTATAATTTGGGGAAATTTCCTGTAGAGATCCTTGTGCAACCTTTTCTCAAATAAAGTGATAATCAATCTCAATATATTTTGTTCAAACATGAAATACTAGATTATATGACATAGATAGGACGCTGATGTTATCACAAGATAGAATTGAAGGCCGAGAGAGATGAATGCCAAGGTCACGCAATAGAAAAGCAAGTATTGTAAGTTCAGTCACAGTAGATGCGAGTGCTCTACTTTCAGCTTCAGCACTGGAATGGGCAACTGTGTTTTGTTTCTTTGCTCCCCAAGATACCACGACAACCCAAACAATAAAACAGCCTGGCTGTAGTGTTACCCCTTTGAAAAATTACGAAAAAAGACACAGAACCCAATTAAAGCAACACTGTTTAAGGACATTTTTAAGGCTTCGGAGTACAGCGCTTTTATATTTTTTTAAGTGGATTAATTAACTGCTTGATAGTTGATGATTGTGAAGGAAAATTGTTTAGCTTGGTACTTCGAGTTGTCATCTAAAGAACTCCTTATAATATCCATGAAAATATTATGCTTGCAACCACAATATTAGATAAAATACATCAGATCATGTTTTCAGATCCAGTAAAACTCCTTCTAGACATTAAAATCTTCTAGAAAAAAAAAGAAAAACAGTAGAGAAGATGCTCACATGAGCTCGTTATTTTGCTCGAGATTGTACGGAATTCTTTTATCGAACCATGTAAAGTTGTACCTTGTACGTCCTTTTTGCTTCTTAGAAAATGGGAAAGATACGCACATTTCTTCCCCAGGAGGAACAATATTGAATTTCAGATTAAAACATCAATGCCATGAACCACCTGATAGAGTCCTGGAAGAGTGAAAGCATTGTGGCTCTTGTACTGGCCAACAGTATTCTTCCTGAAGCAAGAGAACATTCAGAATAAGTGACTAAGGAAATGTAAAAAGTATCACCAAAACTGATGATGCAATTGCACAACTAGCTTCAGACTCCAATATCCACATAACTTATGTAATACCCCATAAACATAAATTAACAGTTTACAGATATGCAGCCATTTCCCAACCGAGATGCTTCTATGCTTCAACCAATTGAGACTACTTAAAGAGATCCTATGGATCTAACAACTGATAAAGAACGAAATCTTATAGATTGAATAACATGAATTGCAATCCAAGGCCCACATATATCAAGTATTCCATTTCCAATGTAAACATAGAATGTCCGTTCCAGCAATCTCTTGGTATTTACTTGTGATCAACTGATGATAAAATCTGCAAGATTCATGGTTATTTGATCAGCAGTGAATTGACAAGAGAAGTGATATTTCTCGTCAAATTTCTTCCAACATATACCTCAAATCTGGATATTTTGTTTTCTCCAGTCCTTTGTTACGGAGCATAATTGAAGAAAGGTGACGATTGAGGAACTGAACCCCATTGCCAATGGATTTATAGCGGTTGGGGCGAGGAACAGAGACATTGAATGGCTCAAAATCTTAGATTTAGAGCAATTGGGGTGAGGAACAGAGGCATGGATGGCTGGGTCGAGGAACAGAGGCATCAAATGGCTCAAAATCATGGATTTAGAGCAGTTGGGGTGAGGAACAGAGGCATTGAATGGCTCAAAATCAAGCTCAAGCACAAAATGAGCATCATTCTTTAACACATGCATTAAAAATAAATACTAAAAATATACTTTTAGAATAAAAAAAGGTGAAAATTTTTATCATAAATATCAAATCAACCTCTATAACCAAAATATATATTTATGGTGAGAGAAAAGACGAAATTAAAAACGAAGAAGAAATTAATCATATTATAGAAACAAAAAAGAAAGGGAATTAAAGACAGCAAGAAAACTCTACCTATGCAGATTTGAGGAATTGGAACCGAGCTTCTTCCTATCCTAAAATGTTCTTGAGCCCGTGGCTCAAGGTATTATCGAGGCTGCAAAAATTCATTTTCCCTTATCTCCATGCAGTCCGCAACCCGTTTGACCCGTATAAACCCCACCTCAGTTGGCCCGATCCGCCGGCTTGCCACTTCAATCTCTCACCAATCGGCGCTAGGGATAGGGTCTCATTTCTAGAACTTCTTAGAGACCCTCCAAATTAACACCCAAAAACCACATTGCCCTCCCCCTTTAACAGTCATTGCCGGACTTCAACACAATTTTTCATTAATTATTTGAATGAAAAATGCAGAGAAAAATAATCGAAAAGTAATCTTTTCACCTCAACAATAATACTGAATATTTGGATACTCATTAATTAATTAATTGTTCAATACAGTTTCATGTTGGATTGCATCTTTATATGAACAATCCATCATTATTTACCATATTCATCTTACAAACAGCAGATTAGCATAATATAATTCAGCTTCATCTTAAGCAATCCACGTCTCAGCTATAGGAGAAGCAACCTGGTGGGATTCATGATCAGCTAGCACATGTGGTGGCTAGTTTCTCCGCCCGTGGACCCAATATCATTGCTGTAAATGTTTTGAAGCCAGATTTGATTGCTCCAGGCGTGAACATCTTAGCAGCTTGGCCGAATCTCTCCCCATCAAAATTACCTGAAGATCCCAGGCGCACAAAGTTTAATATAATATCGGGTACTTACAATGTCCTGCCCTCACGTTTCAGGAATTGCTGCACTCTTAAAAGGGGCTCACCGTGATTTTTCACCGGCTGTAATCAAATCAGCACTAATGACTACCGCATACACGCATTATGACAACGGTAAGCCTCTGTAATCAAATCCTTGTTGTCTAATAGTGGCTTGCCGTTGTCATAATGCGTGTATGCCGTAGTATTAGTGCTGATTTGATTACAGCCGGTAAACAATCACGGTGAGCCCCTTTTAAGAGTGCAGCAATTCCTGAAACGTGAGGGTAGGACATTGAAAGTACCCGATATTATATTAAACTTTGTGCGCCTGGGATCTTCAGGTAATTTTGATGGGGAGAGATTCGGCCAAGCTGCTAAGATGTTCACGCCTGGAGCAATCAAATCTGGCTTCAAAACATTTACAGCAATGATATTGGGTCCACGGGCGGAGAAACTAGCCACCACATGTGCTGGGTTCACTCCGACTTTGGATCCTCTAAAGATCATGGTTGCAGCCGCTGTCGGTTCAGTTTCCAAATAGTGGGAGAACTTCTGATTGGCTGTGATTGCCAAGCCAGCAATCAGATATGGATAGGGTGTCGATGATTCCAATGATCGCATCCTTTATTATAATCTGATGCATTCATAAGGCCGGTAAAGGCTTTTACAGTGTCAAGTTCAAGGGAGTGAGGTGTGGGTGGTATGGATTTTGAGGGTATGGTCAGGAAAGACATGGAGAATTTCTGGGCAGGTTTTCAGTACCCAAACTTCTTGTTGGGTCAGAATGGCAGAAAAACCATGAAAAAAGGAATAGAATTTTTGAAGTGAAGGCTTTTGAGTGTAGAGCTATACCAGTGATCAACGGTAGAGAAATTGGTTGGTTTTAGCTCATTGTTAACGCCGATAATGAAGGATTGGGCTTCTTGAAAATTTATTTTGGCTAAAACAGAGTAGAAGGAGAGGAAAATGATCAGAGAAATGAGCAGAGCCATGATGGTAAAGAGATGAAAGCAGAATGATGATTTGTGTTACGCTCCTCTGTATTTATAGGAAGGGAAACCATCAAAAGCACATTAAGAAAATCAAAGCACAATGATAAAATTTTTCAGGAGAGTGACAGGAAACCGTCATCTGTTCACACATTAAGTGAGGAATTTTCTTTTTATCCAAATTTTAATTTGAACATGGCCTGTGAGAACAAATGTGCCTGTGCAGGAATCGTGCATAGTTTGTAACATGCATGGTTTGGTCTTTATTGTTCAAGACTTTCTCTTGTGGTTTGGCTGCCTAATATGCTTAATTTCTATAGTAAGGTTAGTTTCTTTTCTTAATATTTTGTGCCTGTGCAGGAATCGTGCATAGTTTGTAATATGCATGGTTTGGTCTTTATTGTTCAAGACTTTCTCTTGTGGCTTGGCTGCCTAATATTGCTTAATTTCTATAGTAAGGTTAGTTTCTTTTCTTAATATTTTGTGCCTGTGCAGGAATCGTGCATAGTTTGGAACATGCATGGTTTGGTCTTTGTTGTTCAAGACTTTCTCTTGTGGTTTGGCTGCCTAATTTGCTTAATTTCTATATTAAGGGTAGTTTCTTTTTATAATATTTCGATGGTGACTAGTGAGCTTTAATTTAGTTTCTTTTCTTAATATTTCGATGGTGATTGGTGAGCATTAATTTTGTTTAAATGCAATAGGTGAAACTTCCAAGAATTGATTATTATCCCATATTCCCGATGGTGATTGGTGAGCATTAATTTTGTTTAAATGCAATAGGTCAAATTTCCAAGAATTGATTAGTATCCCATATTCCGATGGTGATTGGTGAGCATTAATTTTGTTTAAATGCAATAGGTCAAATTTCCAAGAATTGATTATTATCCCTTAAAAATGGTCTAATCTTCCTTAAAAAATGCAATGGAGTTCATAGACATACTAATTGGAATGTTTTCCCATAATTCGACTTCATCAGTTTAAACTTAAAAACCTCCACTTCGCTTGAGCAATTAGTTTTGTAACGTTCTCTTCTCCTTTATACTTGGGCAGCAAAAATCCAAGGGTGTTGACGGGAGGCAAAATCCCGGTTTGCACACTTCTTTCTTTCTTTCTTTCCTTCTCTTTTTTTTTTTTTTACCTCTCTCAATAATATTTATTTTCAAGAACACCAAACCCTTATTTGCACCTTAATTTTATGATAATTTAGAGATTTTTTTATGGATTTTAAATTATAAAAATATTGATTAGAAGTGAAAATTATGAAAATTATTAATTATGATAAAAATAATGTATAAAGTGCATATAAGGGCTTGGCTATTGATGAGATGAAGTTAGAAGATAATTTTAAGGGCCTTAGTACTATTCGAAATGTATACACTAAAAATGAATTTCTTGGCTTATAAACAAGTTTAAAATTTAAATGTACAAAAATTAACATTTTAAAGGCTTTAAATATAGAAAGACTTGTTAAAATTTATGGATATTTAAATTTTAATTTGAAGCACAATTTTTACCACAAAATATTAGTCAATATAATCTAAATAGTAAAACTAAATGTTATAAAAAATTTATTTTAAATTACATAATAAAAGGTAACCTTCCTTATATTTTCATTGAAAATATATTATTATTGAATTATTTAAATCATTAAAATTATAAAAAATTAATTATACCAATATCAGGTCAATTTTGTGTTATTATTTGGTGTAAATTATCATTAACCATATATATATATATATGTATATTACAATGAGAAACCCATCAAATAAATAAAAATATTTTCACAAACCTAATTTATTATAATTTACTTGGTTAATCTCGGTTCACACTTTTTGAAGAGAAGAAATGAGACACAGGTGGGAATCGAACACAACAAAACCTAAAATTCTTCTCTCTTCAAGCAGTTTGCCAGTCCCACTACAAGGGTTTTGATATTAGGGCATGCGTAGAAATTATATTTTATTATAATTAACCAAATATAAAGGTATAAAATGATACCTTAAAGACTCAAACTTCAAAAAAGGAACCATTTCTAGGAGCTTCTCTCTAGGGTTTTTCACTTGTGATCCTGAGGTAATACCTTTAGGTGTTTTCACTCTCGTTTCATCCTACCTCTAACCATCTGCAATTTGCAGCAGGTTTTAAAATTTGTTTCTGTTTACTATGTAGAAATTAAGGTTGGTATTGTTTTTGGTGGAGTTTTCATTATCCTACCTACCACTAAACAGATATGGTTGCCATATTAATTTCCTCTCGCTCTCTGGGGACATGGTAAATCAACAACTAGAAGCAAGTGATGCTTCCAAAGGGGGGCAAGACACTCCAGTCCTTCGCCTCATCACTAAAAAAACAAATCATAGTGAGCCTCACCGGTTCTCCTTTGTAGGACATCTAATTGCAGATGAAGATGATACTAGAAGTGGGGTGGTGTATAGCATTTTAAAGAGTGCCTAGAGACCGAAAGGAGGACTAGAAGTGCATGAACAGTCTATGAATACTTTTATTTTTATCCTTTCAAATGAAACTGAGAAAGATAGAATCTTTCGAGAGTCTCCATGGTTTGTCGAAGGGTCCTATATTGTCCTCAAAGATTGGCCAATGTCTCAATGTTTTGATGAAATTGTGTTTTCTCACTCATAATTCTAGGTACAAGTTCATGGCCTCCTAAAAGGATGCATGTCTCTAGAAAACATCCAACTCATCGGGTCACTATTTCCCCATTTAATCTCATGGGACCAATCTAGCTTGGGTGGACTAGAAAGCTTGTTACGCTTAAGGGTCGAAATTGATGTTCAAACTCCTCTTCTCACAGGTTTCCAATTTCAACAACAGGGAGATGAAGTTTGGAATGCTGAATTTAAGTATGAAAAACTGGCTAATTTCTATTATAGATGCGGGAGGCTGGGCCATGCCAACAAATTGTGTGTTGATTTCAACCGAAAGGATAATGACAACAATCACTCCACTCAAGCCAGGTTGCAATATGGGCCACAGTTGAGGGTTGCAGCTTATTCGCCTAAAAGGCATTTTGGCTCCATTCAGGAAGGAAGTGAATCTCACCAAATTCACCATGCAAAACTAATACAAGAAGCCATAGACAAATTTGAGACTGGATTTCATTAAAGCCTACAAACTCGTCTCAATAGAAGACAGTGGTGAATGAAGAGGAGCTCTCTGAACTGGGACGTGTTAAGCAGTAAAAGGAGGAGCATGTGAAGCCATCTACCCCTTCGTTGTCATCCCCAACTTTTAATGAGATTGAAATGCAGTCATATAGTGGTATGATTACCACTTCCGATATTAGTGCAGAGTCCTCATCATTTTCATTTGCCACACACTAGCAAATGCCTCCTCTATTAAATGCGATGATGACCACTCTACAGTTTTCAAATTTAGACAAACATCTAGACATCTCAAGTGACATGCAAGATCAACCCATCGAACATGAAGAAGATTGTTGCAATGCGAAATTGGGCACATTACTGTCCCAAAAGGTTGAAGCCCAGCAATCTTTGGGTGGTAACACTTCAACTGGGAAAAAACGAAGATGTGACACTAGGCCTTCAGTTGAAGCTGTTAAGCAGGCTTGCATTACACACAATGAATTAGTTGGGCTGCAATATTCCCTAACCCAACTACAAGATTCCCTAGCCTTGGGAAGGCCTGAATCTTGTAAACAAGAACAAAAGGGTGTCTTCACAAATGTTGTAGAATCTTTCTCAGTCCATCGGGTGAGACGTAAAATCTAGCTCAAGGCAGTGCTCACCGAGTCAAGCTCTAACCAGATCCTTGCTTGTCATTGATCCAGTCGTTCTATCCAACTCACAGACTCTTCAATGAACCCCCTTTTAGTCCCATGATCTCTACTACAACTCATGCTCCAAGTAATCCTTCTACATATTTCTTAAACTTTCCATCAAGAACAACTGAGCAACTTCCTGATGATATGATTGAAGTGGCGTCAATGGCTGGCCGGTGGTAGCCACCCTCACTGACATGAAGATTCTTTCATGGAACTGTCAAGGCCTTGGGCAAGCCTTGACAAGAAAGGCACTTAATGATCTCATCTTTAAACATCGCCCGTGCTTGGTTTTTTTTTTATTTTTTTTTTATGGAGACCAAAAAGAACAAGAAATACTTGGAGCGATTAAGAAGAAAGTATGTATTCTCTAGCAGTGTTTATGTTGAACTGCAAGGTTATTCGAGGGGTTTAGCCTCGTGGTGGACTGAGGATGTTTATATTTCCATTTTTTGCTCTAATAAAAATATGTTGGATGATTGCTATTCAGATGTTACTTACTTTGTCTCTTGGCATTTTCCCTCTGTCTATGGGGAACCTAATGCACAATTACGACAAGCTATGTGGAGCAGAAGGATGAATCTTAGATGCCCTAGTTCTATTCCATGGCTAATAATGGGAGATTTAAACCTAATTGGGGATAATAGTGAAAAGAAGGGGAAAAAACCTCCATCGAGGATTGATAGAAGATTATATGAAGAACTAATATGCTTTTGCTCTTTAAGAGAGATTGCCTATAAAGGTTCTAAATATACATGGGTTCGAGGCAATATTAGTGAACGACTAGATCGAGCTCAGAGTAATGATGATTGTCGACTCTTCCCAAATGCTTAGCTATTCCACTACACAAAGATTGGCTCAAACCATTGCCCTATTGTACTCTACTTAAAAGCTATTCCTGGTTTCACAAAGAGGCAGTTTAGATATGAGATGAAATGGCAACTCCAAACTAGATATGAGGGAGCTGTGATTCAAGGATGGTCAACCAATTGAGTCGGATCCCCCCTTTTTAACATGGTAGCTAAAATCTCCCATTGTTGACAATCCCTGAAGAAATGGAGCAAAGCTACCTCAGGAAATCCATATCAATGATTGGAGCAATTACACCAAGAACTTGAAGCACTACAATAAGAGGAACAAATGGAATTGAACTAGTCAAGGCAGAAACTTTTAATTGACAAAATTCACACTCTCTGGATGCAAGAGGAAGCATACTGGTTTC